GGCCAGTCTTCCTTTCTTGCTCTTAGTAACAGGAGCAAACAAACTTGATCTATTTATGATATTTAATGGTATAATTAAAAAATAAAATGTTCATCTCTTAAAAATGGTTTACTTTTTTGGGGTGCTGTTTAGAAGTGTTTAATTTTTCTAAGTTATCTAATGCTTCCATTCTGGTGCTTCTGTTGCTGTAAACTTCTCAAGGACGAGTGTTCTCTTCCTTCCTCAAGTTTAATGTGAAAAAATGTGCAGGCACCAGCAAAATGGAATTATAGGGAAATCTTTTGGTGTACAGATGGGAAAGCATACCCTTTAGGAATTCAGATTGAATCTGGACTATCCCAGGTTTGAGTTTTCTCAGACAAATTCTATTTTTACACAGGAAAAATTCTATCAGCTGTTGTAAGTGCCTCTCAAATTTAGGGTACAGCAAAGAAATTACAGTTGATCCTTGAACAATGTGGTGGTTAGGGGTGCTGACATCCCCGCCCCTGCAATGCAGTTGAAAATCCATGTGTGACTTAACCAATAGCCTGTTCCTCAGAAACTTCACCAATAGCCTACTGTGGGCCAGAAGCCTTGCTGATAACACAGACAGTCAATTACCACATATTTTGTATGTTGTATATATTATATACTGCATTCTCACAATAAAGCTAGAGAAAAGAAAATGTTATTAAGCAAAAGGTGGAGGAAACATATTACTATTCATGGAGTGGAAGTGATCATCATAAAGGCCTTCATCTTCATCATCTTCATGTGGGGTAATCTGATAAGGAGGAGGAAGGGGAGGGGTTGGCCTTGGTGTCTCAAGGGGGCAGAGGAAGCAGAGATGGGGAAGATGGAAAGGGAACCAGGAGAGGAGGCACATTCATTGTAACTTTTACTGAAAAATAGTCTATGTATCCCTGAACCTGCATAGTTCACATCCATGTTGCACAAGAGTCAACTGTACTGGAGAGAAAACACGTAAAATCTCTTCCAATGGCTTGAGCAAAGAAATAGGAAACAATATGAAGGTTTGAGGTGCCTCTGTTTGTTGGTAATAGCTTATTTGGCTGTTTCTTCCACTCTCTATAACAGAATTTAGGTGGGACCAGAGACTTTTTAGACTCAGCTTGCTACATGTGTTTATGAATTCCATAAACAGAAAGGGATGCGTGCCTGTGTGGCAGAGGAGGGGAAAAGGAGGTAGAGAGGAGTGGCAGTCATTCGCAGGACCACTTCTCTGACTGCTAAGAACGTAGGAAATACTGCTCGTAATTGTTACTATGCAAAATGAAATATACTTCAGTTAGCAATTAGTAATTTACCACACGTTGGCTTCCACACATTGGCTTTCTTCAGAAGCCGACATGTGGTAAATTGGACTGAGGTAGCTGAGGAGAGCAGGCTCTGGAAAATACGGTGAGTGTATGGAGGGGAGACGGAGGAGGGTGAAGGGAAGGGTGCCTTTACAACCGTTCAAAGTCTACATGTTTCTTGAATCCATTATCAGTTAATCATTTATAAAAAGAATAGAACTATAATAGGCCCGAAAAAATGGGCTGTGTGGGGAGGATGCTAGCTTCTTCCTCAGAAGGTGTAGAGTCATCTTTAGTCCCAGCTACTTGGGAAGCTTAAGTGGAATGACCACTTGGGCCTACTGTTCAAGTCCAGCCTTGGAAACATAGAGAGACCCTGTCTCTACAAGAAAAAAACAAAAATAAATTTGGGATGTGTGGAGTTCATGGTTACCTGCTCTAGCAAAGAATATGTTTCCAAGAATAAGAAAAAGAAAAACAGGGAAACTGGTATTTGAATCTTGGATCAAGTTGCAGGTGGTCTGAAAAGCAAGGAATATTCTAGAACCTCAACTCTAAGGGAGTGGAGAGTAAAAATGAAATCCAAGTTGAGGTGAAGACAGAATCTTTTACCACTGACTCGTCAGTGGCTGTGGGCAAGGAGAAGGGTAGGGTGGGGCAGGGAAGGCTGTAGGATAGCGTTTCTGGTCTCTCTGAAAAACGCTGAGGTTTTCCAGTTCTCGAGCTGCAGAAATTAGTCCTCTGTGATATAATGTGGATGAATTGATGACTTTCAGTGCACAAACTCATTTTATTAGGAAGGAATGGCAGCATTTATGTAATCCATCTACGTGGCCATTTTGTATGCATAGGATGGCTCAACTCATGGGCAATGCAGACTTTTGATATTAGCTTTAGGAAATGGCCATAAAGGAGAAGAGGGTCTTGTAAGACCTCTCATGTCCATTTCTAGGGCTCACAGTCTGGTTTGGTGTGGAAACACCTAAGTATGGTCTTTTTGCAGCTTCATAACAAACAACTCTTAGCAGCTCCAACCTCTTGTGGAAATTAAGCTTAAAACACTGAATAAGTTAAGCAAGTGAGATGCAACCATAGTCATCAAACCATTTTTCCTGGGTAACTTTTATAAATTAATCTGATTATTTTATAGACTGACTTCATAAGGGATCAGGAGCTGGAATACAGGATCACATTATTCATGATGTGTAATGCAATTGAGATTAAAGATTAAATTTTAGTCTTAGTAAACATTGAAGACGTAGTTAGATACCATATAACCAGTCGTGTTTAGTGATCCCCAGCATTCTTTTCAGTCTTTCAGTATGTATGTGAGAGGGAACTGTGAGCTAAAGATAAATAAAACCTCACTTGTCACATGACAGCTAACAGCATCCAGCCATTTCCAGAATGGCAACTTTTGTCTCTCAATTTTTATAATTCATGAAAGAGGAGAGGTGTGGCTCCTTCAAAGCAGGTGAAGTGGATCCTTATCAGCCCATCAATTCCTTTTCCTGCTGTGACTCACAGATTGATGGCAACAGTGAAACTTCTGTAGTTTCATAAAATATAGTTTGTTGTTTACATAATCATGTGGGTTGTTTTTTGACCATTTTTGTTAGAATTTTTGTGGAACAAATAATGCCCATAGCAAATAAAAGTTAATTTACAGGTTTATCTGGTTGATCAATGTATAAGGATCAATTACACACATACGTATATTAGATTTAACTCTACAAAATGAACACATTTAGGTAAAAAACAGCCAGATAGTTTCATAAGACACCAATGAAAACACACACATGCAAACATATTGCATTTCTACTTATCAAAAAATAATAATGGAATGTCATGCAATTATAGTAAGATAAATTGCAAATAATAACTTTTATATTAAAACACTCAACAAACTAATCTGTAGAGTAGTCAAGTGGAGGAAAGTCATTTTTCTTCTGTATGCAGGTCATGTGTTTTGTTCTATGACGGAATTTGGGGTGTAGGTTGCTATGGACCAAATCGTGTTCTTCAGAATTCCTGTGTTGAAGCTGTGAATTCCTGTGTTTGGATATAGGGCTTTTAGGAGGTAATTAAGGTTTAATGTGGTCATCAGGGTGGGGTCCTACTCTGATAGGATTGGTGGCCTTCTAAGAAGAGAAAGAATATTACTCAGCCATAAAACAGAATGAATTAATGGCATTCGCAGCAAGCTGGATGAGATCAGAGACTAAAAGTGAAGTAACTCAGGAGCAGAAAACCAAACATTGTATGTTCTCACTCATAAGTGGGGGCTAAGCTATGAGGATGCAAAGGCATAAGAACGACACGATGGACTTTGGGGACTCACAGGGAAAAGGTGGGAAGGGGGTGAGGGGTAAAAGGCTACAAATTGAGTGCAGTGTAAACTGCTCGGATGATGGGTACATCAGAATCTCACAAATCACAACTAAAGAACCTACTCATGTAACGTACCACCACCTGTTCCCCAATAACCTATGGAAAAGAAAAGAACAGCTTTTTGAGGACGACACGGTTGTAATGCTGCGGCACTGTGGTCCACCCGCTCCTGCTCCAGATTCCCCACTCTTTGCTCTCACCAATGAACAAGTCGGTCAGGAAGCCACGCTGCAGCCATGGCTTTTAAAGATCCCGGAAAAACACCCCTGGAGCTGGAGGTGGAGAGTTGCTGAATTCGAATCATGTGAATGAGTTGCCACATAAAAACCCTGGAGAAATGCGTGCTTATGTGATCAGAGGAGCAAAGGAAGAGAATTGCAAAGTGAAAGGACCAGAATGCCTACCAAGACTTTGAGAATTACTACAAGAAAAACTCCTTGAGGTGAAGGTTCTAAGACATGGGATTGTTTCCAGAGGAGAATCCACTCATTGACTCACACAGCCCTTCTGAGATTGCTAAGCAGATGACTTCTATCAGAATGGAGCCTGGAGTTGAGGTTGAAGCCACCATTGCAGATGCTTAAAGTCAACTATTTTAATAAATTGGTTACCAGTTAAAAAAAAAAAAAAAGGGCCAGGCACGGTGGCTCATGCCTATAATCCCAGCACTTTGGGAGGCCAAGGTGAGTGAATCATGAGGTCAGGAGATCGAGACTATCCTGGCCAACATGGTAAAACCCCTTCTCTACTAAAATAAATTAGCCGGGTGTGGTGGCATGTGCCCGTAGTCCCAGCTACTCTGGGGGCTGAGGCAGGGGAATAGCTTGAACCCAGGAGGCGGAGGTGGCAGTGAGCCGAGACCGTTCCACTGCACTTCAGTCTGGCAACAGAGCAAGACTCTGTCTAAAAACAAAGAAAAAAAAAAAGAACAACAAAAAGACACCAGAGAGATTCGAAAGAGATGTCCCTCTGTGTGGACAGCTCTAAGGAAAGGTTACCTGAGGACATGGTGAGAGCCTGCCATTTACCAGCCAGAAAGAGAGGCTCTACCAGGATCTGAACCTTGCTGGAACCTGATCTTAGACTTCCGACCTCCAGAACTATGAGAAGACAAATGTCTGATGTTTAAGCTATTGGGTCTGTGGTGTTTGCTACGGCAGCCAGAGCAGATTAAGACAGGGATAAGGAGGAGGTAGTTGAAGTCAGAAAGCTATCCTAGGGGCTGTCTCATCTGAGCAAGCAAAATCTGTAAATAGATTCTCCTCTGAGTGTCTGGGAGGAGTTGTGTGGAGCTGAGGGGATGTGGGACAGAGCATTTTGCTGGGAGCACACGTGCAAAGGCTGGTGGGTTTGGGGACCTCCAGGCAGTCCAGTATTGCTCAAATTAAAATGCAGTGGAAACTGGGCCTTGGAAAACCTTGTGTGCCACCACAGGATGTGAACCAGCTTCTGCTGTGGTCCTGGTAGCCTCCATTTATGGGTCTACCAGAAGGCTGCGTCGGTCTTTGGTAAGCTGTGAATGCCGAGGTGGAGAGTGAGTGACAGGGCGGCACTGAGAACTGAATTTCCAGTCACCCCCACATCCATCTCTCAGGTCCAGAGCTCTGTTGATGGTGTGAGCAACAGAGTTGCTGAAGGGTAAATACTTCTGGGGCGCAGGTAAAAGACAGTGAAGGGACTGTAATGCCATTCCTAATTCTACACTGGAGAGGATGTGCTGGGGACAGAGAGCAGAGGACAGGCTCAGGTGACTTTACATGATCTGCTCAGCAGGATGTGGACACGACTTGGAGGGTGTGGGAGGGATCATTTAGGGGAAGGAGTCTGGGATTAACTCCCAAGTCTCTGCCTGGTTTCACCTGTGGAGAGAAAGCAAAGAAATTGGCCTGAAGTAGTGACATGTTTTATCTTGGTGGACATCTGGCAGGCAGTTCAGTCTGGAACTTGCAGAGAGGTCTGGGCCAGACAGATGGGCTTGAGGACAACCCTGCCTCAGTTCCCTGGGTTCATAAATTTTAGCTTACTTTCTGGTAGATTCCACAGATTGATGATAGCAGGATTACAGCAGGAGCTAACTCTTCATCTTGTCCACTTAATGTCACAGGAATCTGCATTTGGGTTTTCCTGAAGGCAAAATTGGTGGTGTCATGTGAGCGGGGTTGGGTGGGAAGAAGGGAATGTTCACTGACTTTAAATACTTAGGAACACAGTAGCCAAAAATAGTTGTGGTGTGGTAGGAATTTAAATTGTGCCTTCACAGCTTGCCATGCTGGTCTGAACTTTCAGCATTGTACCTTGGATTGAAAAATAATACATGTTGTGGGCAAGGCGCTTTCATGGACTTGGAAGGAATGACTGTGCTTCCTATATATTTAAAGAATTAGAAGTGAATGCCCACTTGTAGCATTATGATTTATTATACACGTAGTGCCACGAAGACTAACAGGAGCCCCTATCCTCAGGAGCTTAGGCAGAGCACAAGTGGGTACACCGTAAATCAGAGCAAACTGTGGAGGTGCTGGCCTCCAAAATTGTCACTGCTGCAGCCTATCCTGAAGCAGGTAGGTTTTGGGGGCAGTGGGGAGTTCCCAAGTTGGATAAAGAGAGCTATGAACATTGGCTGGAAATACTTTGGAGGCCTAGGATGGCTGTTCAGCTGGGTAGGACAGGAGCTGACCCTGTGAGATGTGTGGAAAAGTGTCCTTGAAAAGATGGTGATACAGTTTGGCTGTGTCCCCACCCGAATCTCGTCTTGAATTGTAACTCCCGCAATTCTCACATATCAAGGGAGGAACCCGGTGGGAGGTGATTGCATTCTGGGGGATCTGATGGTTTTAAAAACAGGAGTTTCTCTGTACAGTCTCTCTCTTTGCTGCCATTCGTGTAAGATATGTTTTGCCCCTCTTTGCCTTCCGCCATGATTGTGAGGTCTTCCCAGCCACGTGGAACTGTGAGTCCAATTAAACCTCCTTCTTTTGTAGATTGCCCAGTCTCAGGTATGTCTTTATGGACAGTGTGAAAACAGACTAACACAGATTGGATGAGGGAGAGGGAGCTGGAGGTTTAGAAACAGTGCTATGGATGGGGGGCTGAGCGGGGAGGAGGGTGGATGAACACTTCTGCTCAGAGGAAGGCGATGGGGAGTCCTGGCTCTTGGGGAGGGGCAGGGAGTCAGGGAGGATGTGGTTCCCCTGTGGAAAGCAACAGGGCAGGGAAAGGAGACTCAACCCCCTCATGAACGAGGCTGGACATTCCTAGCCAGTATACCCATGAGCAGGGAGGTGAGAGGAAGCCTGGGGAAATCACCCAACTATCTGAGGGATGAGCCTAGGAAAAGATACATGAGATGAGATTGTTAAAGGTGATGAAAGATCAGAAAGATTACGGACCTGGGATGGCAAATGCAGCAGTACATGTTTGCTTTCTCCTTGGTCAGAAATAGAAGGAAAAAAAATCTCATGGATCCTAGGATTTGTATGCGTTTGCTAACTAAAGGCACAAAATGACCTCTGGAAAGGGAACTCTGAGATTCACAGATTGCAAGTGAGATGATGGTGAGGAACTATTAATATTTAGGAGCTCTCTGAAACTTTGAGAGTTAAATTGGATTTGCTCAGGTATGGAAGACAGGGGTTTAAAGGTCTCCAGGTACAAGTGGAATCAATCCAGACATTTTCTTAGAGAAGGAGGAAGAAAAAAGCAGGGTCACAAAAATAAAAAAGTAGGAGTTCAGAAAGTTAAGGAGGCTGGGTGCAGTGGCTCATGCCTGTAATTCCAGCACCATGGAGAATTCTCCCAGACAGGAGAATTGCCTTGAGGCCAGGAGTTCAAGACCAGCCTGGGAAACATAGCAAGACCCCATTTCTATTTTTAAAAAATGAAACTGAAAGAAAACACCACAATACAGGGAAAAGTGAGCGAAGAATCTCGGAGGTAGAGAGCCCTCGATGTGGTCCTGATTTGTCTGTTTCCATCTTCGTTTCCTGAGCCTAACCTCAGCACTAGCCTCTTCAAACCTCTTTTCAGTCCTCTCATTTTGAAAACAGGGTCCATTACACATTCTCTGAAAGCTTGCTGAGTGATTAAAACACATAGTCCAGGGTAGGCACTCATCAAACATTAGGCGGCTCTTTTTAATTTTTATCCTATCGTGGTATCTATCTAGAGGTTGGTGAAGACAATATGGTGAAAGAAAAGTGGGAAGGATGAAATACCCTGGAATAGGATGTACATGTAGAGGAGAGTCCTTGACGGTCATTTGGCTTGATAGGGAAAGTTAGAGAACTCTCCTGAACTACAGTTACAGGGCTTGGGGGTATAACACACACGGCCCCAGAGAAAACACTTTGCTTACCATATTTCCTCCTCTGCTTGAGCTCTGGCATCTTAATTGGTCAAAAGGCAGAAAGGATCCGCAAAGCCTGCCCTGAATTTATCCGAGTCTATGCACGAACAGCTTCCTTCTCCCACCTTGCCTTGCGAGATCCAGCTGTTAATTACACTAAGTGACAAAGATTCTCCTTGCTGCATGACGGACACAAGGATGAATCTTTGTTACTGACTGCAAATAACAGAACGAGTGGTGACCAAGAGTCAGGCTGGGAGAACACGCTTCAAGTCACGCAATGGGCATATGGCACCTTCTTCTGAATTGACCCGAGAAGCTGCAGAGAAACAGAGTGGGTATTATTTTAAGTTCCTCCTATGAAAATATAGCCTCCATCCTTTTTTTTTTTTTTTTTTTTTGGCTTGTTCAGTTCTGGCACTGAAACAACTTGTCTCTTTACATTAGTTCAGTTCTGCAGAAAAACGCTCATTTAGAAGGAAATTGTTGGAAAATCCAGGCAAGAATCCATTTTTAAAGTCACAACTGAATGATTGCTTTCTTATTGTGCTACACAGGGCTGGAAAAATCATTCCTTTTTGTACATATTTTTCTTTTTGGCTTTGTGTTTTCATTCTGTTTAAGACACACATATGTGCCAAAAATGAAAACATTTTCAAAGGGCAAGTTTCCAGGACTCCTAAAAATAGGACCGGCTGCCAAATATACATTTCCCCAATATGTAAATGGCTGAAAAGGAGCACAATGAAAAGCATATGCTATTCAAATTTTCTTTAGAAAAACAAGAGCTGGAGGAGCTGATTGAAACTCTTCAAACTAGTGGCTTCCATGTAAATTTTATCTTTAAGTCTTCAGACATCATTCTTTGCATATTTTACATCTATCTTTTAATCAAGACTGAAACAAGCTACTAGGAATAATCTTATTTTCGAAATCATCACATCAGCCTGTAAATTGACACAAACCTTGCAAATAAGTATTAAGGCCAAAAAAGGTATAAAACACCCCGAACATCCAGGCCACTTGTGGCTGCTTCACAGATCTAGGGGCGAATCCATGAGTTGGAAAGTAAATGCACATTAGTCCAGGTAAGAAGTCTTTTATTTCTTGCCTTCTGTGGCCTGCGCTCAGGAATTACCTGAAATTCTTTCTGGAAATAAAAAGAGCACACACACACTAATTAAAATCAAAGAAGTCAGTGGTGGAAGGGGTTTGCTTAGCATTCTGTGGCTGTCATCCTGTATGAATGGGTGTTCTCTATTCTTAAGTCTGTGCCTTGTAATTTAGAAAAATTATCATTCTTTGTGAAAAATCCCACTGGTGAGCTAATCTCTCAAAGGCCTTCTTTTGTTTTCTGAAAAAAAATTTTTTTTGATCAACGAGTCGACATGTTTAATTATTATAAGTTGTCTTGTCAAAGGTTTACAAACCTGCATGGCCATATCCTTCTTGGGTGGGCTCCTGTGGGGCTGGAGTCCCCTGAATTTCCTGGAGACCTCCTTTTCCTCCAGTGGGGCTATGGAGGCAGTGCTTGGCCAGGAAGTATGGCTGACAGTCTATACTTTTATCCTTGGAATTATCTTGCTTTCCCAGCCCTGGTTAAAGTTTTTCTTTCATATCTTAATATTTCTGTGATAGACCATGGGGGAGGGAAAAAAAACTCAGAAGAGGTTCTACCCTTGCTGTTAAAAAGTTGTGACCTTTGCTCACAAATTTGCCAGAGAAAGTGGCTTATACCACCAATTACCATGAATTATTAACTCCTGGATTAATAATTTATTAGAATCCTAAAGGCCTGGGTACTGCCAGATCCACACGGTTGAGAGAAAAACAAAACAACATAGCGCTGATGATAACAATTTGTAGACAATGCTTATAAGTAATGGCATTTTGGCTTTCCAAAGGATTTCTTATTTTCCCTCTAATATCACACTGGCTGAAGACTCAGGCAAATTCACTAGTAATACCTATAACGACGCATGCAGATATTGATGTTAATTTTTTTTATTTAACAAATATTCATTGATATGGTTTGCCTGTGTCCCCACCCACATCTCATCTTAAATTGTAGTTCCCATAATCCCCATGTATCATGGGAGGGACCTGGTGGGAGGTAACTGAATCATGGGGGTGGTTACCCCCATGTTGCTGTTCCTGTGATAGTGAGTGGGTTCTCATGAATCTGACGGTTTTATAAGGGGCTTCTCCCCACTTTTCCTCTGCACTCCTCCTTACTGTTGCAGGAGAAGGACATATTTGCTTTCCCTTCCCCCATGATTGTAAGTTTCCTGAGGCCTCCCCAGCCTTGTGGAACTGTGGGTCAATTAAACCTCTTTCCTTTATAAATTCCTATCTAAACTGGGTATGTCCTAATAGCATCGTGAGAACAAACCAATACATTCATATACCTCTTTCTTTGTGTCAACTTCTATTTGAAACACTTGCACATATTAATTTATTTAATTAGTGTTCCTAACGACCCTCTGACTTAGACGTTACTGTCATCTACATGTTACAGACAGGGCAAGGAGAAACCATGCCAGAGTCACACAGATAGATGGTCCCTGGCTGCGTGATCTCACCAGGGCTGCCAAGACAAAGTAGCACAGACTAGGTGCCTTAAACAACAGCGATTTATTTTCTCACAGCTCTGGAGTCCAGAGGTCTGAGATCAAGGGGTCAGCAGGGGTGGTTCCTTCTGAGGCTGTGAGGGAGGATCTGTTCCTGGCTCTACCCAAGCTTCTGGGAGTTGCTGCAATCTTTTGCATTCCTTGGCTTTTAGACATATCACCTCAATCTCTGTCTTTATCTTCACAGGGCAGTATCCCTGTGTGCTTGTTTATATGTCCAAATTCTTTTTAAAAAAATTTTTATAAGAACACCAGATATATTGCATTAAGGTCCACCCTAATGACCTCATTTTTATTTGATTACCCTCTGTAAAGACCCTATCTCCAAATAATGTCACATTCTGAGGTGCTAGGGATTAGGACTTCAACATGTGGGCTTTGGAGGGTGAGAACACATTCAACCCATAACACTGGTAGAGCCAGGATTCAAACCCATGACGTCTTGCATCTGTGCTCTTAACCATCATGCCATGCTGCCTCCCATTGTTTAGTCTTTTGTTTTGATAGATAAGGCTCATTAGGGCAAGTTTGATTTAGAGTATCTTATTGATCCCTGTACAAGACTTGTCTTCAGGGTAGGCACTCTTGTGGAATGTTTTCTTGAGCCCAAGAATGGATGTGCTTAAATTTAGAGAGATCAGATTGGTTTGCAGCCAGAAGGTCTCTAAATTCTCTTCAAGCTCTGAGCTCAGTGTTTTGAAATCGAAAGCTCTTTTAGTTCCTCCTGCTTGACTCCCTAGCACCTTTTCTTAAATCTGCATTTTAAAGGCATTGGAACAGGGAGATGCCTTATCATTTCCTTTTTTTTTCCTTCCAAATTCCTGTTCTTGAAGCTGTGATTGGGTAACACAGCACCCCTGCTACATTACAAATCTTCTTGACCTCATCATTTCTTGAAATGGAAAAGGGAAACCAAAAGGTCTGATTCTTCAGACTTTTAGCTTGATAAGAAAGCAAGCCTGAAAATCCTTGTTCCTTAATAGGGAAGGAAAAAGAAAAAGAAAAAAGAGCAGACAAAGAAAAATCAGAAAAAGTCAGCACAGAGAAAAGAACTTTGCAAATAGAAGTAAAAACAGGAGCTGGGGTTTAAGAAATTGTGCTTTGCTTCATTAAATGCCAGTTTGCAAAAGGGAAGGGTGATGGCTGACGCATCAATGGCGAAACCTAGGGTGCAGCTTTACATAGTACCACGTCTCATCACCTCGTCCACCCCACCACTGAATTCACTCTGACAGCTGTCTGGGAGATACACTGTAAAGATTAGATTCTCAAAAACATATGCTGCATTTGGCTCCCGACCTCAATATTTTTAGGGGTTTCTCTTATTGTTTCTTTCTTTGTGTGTGAAGACTTACTAGCATTAAGTGCAGTTTATATGTCAGATTACTTCCTTATTTTTATTTTCCTTTGAAGCAAAAAATGTCATAAAAATCATGCAGGAGGGTGACAGGCAGATTATAGAAATTTGTTCCTATTGTCTTGAATATATTATCCACCTTTTTCAGTACATTTAAAGATTTGCTCTGTTCTGAAGGTAGAAGTGATAGAGCCATTTCTAAGTTGACTATAAAAGAGGACAGGGGACGCACAGAGGTGTCACTTCAGAGTGTGGGATTGAATACAGAGAGAGGCCAGGGCTTGGCCGGGGCTACATTGTCCTGCTGTGTTTCTAAGGAGGGTCCTCAGATCTGTTGAGAAATTTCTGACTCTTGCCTTGAAAAGACCGGTCCAGAAATTTGATCAGGCTCTTTACTTCTCTCACCCTCTTAGGGGCTGCTCTTTGGAAGTTTCCACAAATGTTAATTCATATAGAATCTAGCAGATTAATAGGCTGCAAAAACTGCCACAACCCTTCACTTTCCCCTGTATCCATGTTCCTTATAATGTGACTTTGCAACTCTTCCTTCAGGAGGTGGAGTCTATTTCCTCTACCTTCGAATCTGGACTCGCCCATGACTTGCATTGGCCAAAAGAATACAGTAGAAGTCATGGTGTGCCCTTTCTGAGCCTAGCATGAGACCTCAAGAGGTCTTAGATGTGACTATTCTTTCTCAGAACCCTGCCCAGATGTCTTGTGAATAAGGTACTACAGAGTAGCCTGCTGGGGCTAAACAAACACATAAAGCCAAGGTAAGATGTTCTAGCTGAAGCCACCTTAAACAAGCCAATCCTTAGCTCACTCTGCAGCTGAGCAAAGGTAGATGAATGAGTCCAGGCAAAATCATGGTACGCATCCAGCTGAGCTCAGATCAAGTTGCTGACTGAATCATAAGCTAAGCAAATGGCAGGTGTCTTAAGCCACTAAGTTTTAGTGTGGCTTGTTATGCAGGAATAGCTGACTGATATACTAGCTTGGAAATTTGATCAAATTTTGTGTTTTCTGTTCTTTCTTGTTGCTAACGTTCTTTGGAGAGCTTTGACAAATGTTTATTTACACAGAAAACTTAGCACTGTTGGTAATCTCCTCTCCTGCTCATGGTAGAATGATCATTGCTAATGGAGAATATTATAAGTTGGTCCTTGGATTCACCTTTGGGCTTTCTTCTTTATGGTGAGACATGCAAGATGCAATATTTTATCCTTTGCTTTGGATGAGGTGCCCTGGCATACCCACTGGCATACCCCTTGACCACTGGACTCCTAAAGATTTTATTGATGTAGCAAGCCTCTGAATCTTCATGGGCTGTATCTCTTATCTTCTGGAACATGTATCTTACTAAGGTCTGCAATGTACTAGTCAATTCTTGCTCATTTGGCCTGATTAGAATGATGTCATCAATATTGCATATTAATGTGACATTCTATAGGATTCCCAGGTATAGAAATGTCTAGGTCTCCACAGACTGTAATATGACCAATGGTGCAAGAGTTAACATAGTCCTAGGACAAAACTGTAAAGGAATATTTTTTATTCTTTCTATTTCATTGCAAATAGTTTCCGATCTTGTTTTTTGATAGAATTGGAAAGGAATGGCTTCGCCAGATCAATGGTTGCATAGCATGTACCTGAGACTATTCATCTCTTCAACAAAAATACCATGTCAGGCATAGAAGGAACAAGTGGCTGCTTCTTAGTTGAGTCTGAGTGGCCTACCATTGTCTTCCAGGATCCAGATGGTTTCTTCAGGGGATTTCCATGGAATATAATGATCTGGTGGGTTTTCTGTGAGTCTTTTGTGGTATCTCCTCTCCAGCTTGTTCCCTCCAGCTGCCATGTGCTCCCAGTAACTCTGGGATCGAAACCTCACTAAGATCAGACATCACTTTTCTCATGCTTTGAGGCTCCATCCTAATAGCCAATTTATGCAGTCCTTTGGGGTCCTTGCTGAAGTATGTTAGATTTAAAGCAAGGCCAGTAATTTTTGCCAAAATTAGGTTCCTGGTTGGAAGAAAACAGGACCTGACACCTAGATGCAAGGCAGCAGCCAGGCCGAGGCAAGTGAGGGGCCCATGGTGCAAAATTTAAGGTGTTCACTCTCAGGTCCATGCATGCCCAGGGAGTATGTGAGTCCTGAAATTTCATCCCCTAGATGCCCCCCTTACCTCACCTCATCCCCAGCTCTGCTTGGGTAGAGGAATCTGTGTTGATGCCATTAAAATCTTGAATCCCTGTGTCCTCCTGGGTCCTCCTGAGCCCTCTAAGTTGCAAAAGGAGCCCACACCTCTTGGAAAGAGCTAGAACTCCCCTCTAACTTGGAGACAGTACAGAGACATCTCTGCAAGACAGTGGGAATCGTCCCCTCAGTCTGTGCCTACCTCACCCCTTTTTGCCCCTGAGACCTATCACTAGAGTTCTAGCACAGTATGCCCCAACGGAGGCTGTCCTGGACCCCATAATTGAAGAAAAGCACTGTGAGACCCAGGCAACATGAATCAGCAGAGCATGTAGAGTGTGCATAGGCTAGATCCCAAGAGTGCTGCACCATGAGGCTCAGCACAGATATTGGCTAAAGGGAGTTGATTGATTTGGGAGTACTTTATAGAGATCCAACTCCCTGGCAAGACCCTTGGGAGACTGTGCAACCTAGCTAGCAGGGGGGTCTGGGCTGTCCTGTGC